CAATAAACTCATAAAGTACATCATTCTGATTGAAGCTAAGGGCATACAAAATTGTCTAACAGTGGTAGGGCTAGGAGTGGTGGTCTCCTTGAAGGATGAAAGAAGGCTAGGAATAAGGATAGGCTAAGAACTTCTATCGACAGAGTCATGTGTTCGTTATGATTCATGCATCCTTTAGTAGGGAGAGATCCTGAGGTTCCAAAAGGAAGGAAACAAGAAAGTCATATTCCCATTTGGAAAGGGAATCTTTAATTCGATGTCAGTTGTCAAGGGGACACTTCTAGGGGTTCGCCACATGTTTTATGAGATCTCTCCAAAACAAAGTTTCCTTTCATTTGATGATTATCATAATATACATGTGATATTTCCTTTTGTAGGTCTCTTGGGCTGACATGATGCAAATGATGTCAATACTGGTTTGATGTGTCCAACTTAATCCTGTTGGACATCTTGCCGCAAGTGTTTTTTTGGCTAACCATTATTCTTTTGTTCATCGCTAGCCTGCAATGACTTTAAGCTCATTGCAAATCTGTGATGATTTTGAACTCATTGCAAGTTCGTGCGGAGTTGTGAATTCATCGTGGGTGTTTCTATAGTATTGGTTTAGTGCCTTCATTGTCATTGTTGTGATGGTGAACAACATGTACTTACACTTACGTCTACGGAAAATGCGAAACTTGTTCTTTACTATGAAAGAAAACTGAAAAATAATGCAAGTATCTCGTGACTTGCAGCCCAAACCAACCTTTAACCCTTATACACCCCTTCTCTCTTTCCTCTCAACCCGAAGAACAAAAATAAGAGAAAAAAACCTAGTATCACACCAAAAGCGCTATGTATTTTTCTCTTACACTTTCTTTCTAAAAAAACTTTAACCCTACGTACAAAAAAAAGTTTTTATACATAAAACCTCTTTAACTTAAAGAGGAACCATAGCAACCGATAGATTAAAATTAATCAACTGTAAAAATAAGGCACGATCTCAACACCAATCTCCCTATGTATTATTGCTATTATCTTGCTTCTTTTAGCTACTCTTGACATCCTCTATGGATTGATCTCTTTTGCCTATACCGTCGTAATTCTAATTACCCCACCTTACTATTGTTTGTACGGTCAATTGGTCGTACAACATTTATCATTCAATGTTAGAACTTAGTGGTTGAAACATTATTGTTAGTATAAAGTTGTATTCTGCAACTTTGAATGAAGTTCATGTGATTGGACAGAGCAAGGCAAATAGGCAATCGTACTCCCAAATTTTTTTAATACAAAGAAACCCAGCAGAACCAGACATAAAGAAATGTCGTGGTTAAACTACGAAGAATTTTAAAGGGCATAATAGGACTTTTCAAATATTAAAGACATCATTTAATGCCACATGCTAACGTTTATCGACAAACGAAATGTTTAAGTCCAATGGGATTAGCTCACAAACTATAAAACGCAGATATGCTTAAATAAATTTTTGAAAACTCATGATATGTTCAAGTCTTTTACCCTTTTTTTTTTATTTATAGACAGGGGAAGTGCGCCTCAAAAGGTTTTGATGTTTCATCCTCCATAAAAGGTTGGGAGAAAGGCGTTTATGGACCAAGTTAAACCATCAATGATAGATACATCAAACTCCGGATTGCTTGCGTTGAAAGCTAAACTAATTTTCCCTCGTGTCCAACGGAATAGCGCTACGTAGAGATGCAACTTGGGCGGGTTGGGTTGGATTGATGGTCAACCAAGGCCAACCTAAGATATACAAACTTTAAGCTCGAGTGTGGCCCGATCCTAGGACAAGCCCGAGTTTATCAATTCAGGCCCAACCTAAGCTTAACCAAAGATGGGTTGGGCCTGGATTGATAAATTCGAGTTTGTCCTCAAGCGTAACACAACTCAAGTTAGGCTTAGGCTCAGATTGGGTTAGGTTGGGCCAGCTTGGGTGGATTGTTTGAACTTGAAAGACAAAAAGCCAAGAAAGACTAGTGTCTCTCTAACCTCCAATTTAAATAATTATTGGAAAATGGGGCCACTAAAACTTGGAAGAGAAGCTATGAGGCGTGTTTGAAGACACTGTCTTTAGAACGTTATTTGCCCCCACTCAGTTTCACTAAGTTTGTTGTTGGATTACAGGCAAATCCATTCCCAGGATACAACAGAGCTTTTGGGGCGAGAATCTACAACCAGCAAAGTTGAAGAGTCTCCGAAGAAACTTTTTGTGATACTGTAGCAAACCAGAGAGAGAGAGAGATTTTCGAAAAATGTTGTGTGAAAAGCCTGATTCATACTCCTTAAATAGTTTCTAAAGAGTTATGAAGAAAATGTAGGTACTGTTTCAAAAAAAGGCACCTTGAACAATCACAATTTCAAACATTGTGACTGTTTAAAAGGTAGTTAACGGTCATTACTGTTAACTTTGAATTGTGCCTCTTGATCACATCTGATCAAATCGTAGATGTTGATCACATCAATAGTTAGCATCGCACCAAAAGGCCAAAGTTGCCCTTCGCAAGCCACGCGGGTGCAAGTGAAGTGCGCCTCATTGCGCCGCACACACACGCGCGCATTGCGCAGTAGCAAGTCTCCATACTCTCTTTTACTATTTCTAAGGAGTGTAAATCAGCTCCTATTAAAAAACTCAAAACAAAACTTATATTTTTCTATTGTGGGACAAATTCAAAATTGGTTTTAATAAGAAAAAAGTTATATTTTAAAACAAGTGTGCCGGTGTAATTTCTCATGTAATTGACCAATCAAACCTATTGGATTTAATCTCATTAGAGATTAAAATACAACAACAATAAATAAAAAGACAAACCTCATACTTTTCTTATAAGCTTTTTATCAATTCCATGGTATCTAAGAACTCTGCCCCTACTTGAAAACACCTATGGGATTTCACCATCCAGTAAAAACAGATAAAAGGTTCAGAACTAAGCCTTATAATCTCCAACAAATAACAAAACAAAGAACTTAAGCCATGCATTTTCTAAAGCAAGGCAGTAAAAAGAAGAGGGATATTAAGAACACAAAAGACCAGTTTGTCATCAAAATGGTATATGGTATTTGGCTTTTTCTTTCAAATAAATCATATAGCAGCAGCAAAAGAAAAGATAAAATAAAACAGTAGTTCTTAAAAGTTCAACATAAAACTACCAAAGAATAGCATGGAAGAAATGAGTTCGGCTTCAGTCAGGGCAAAGCCCATTCGAGCAGCCTTTAATGCTATGCATTGAGAATATCTCCATACATGTGTGCTTTATTTTATTGAAAGATATTCTCAATGCAAGGTTACAAAAAGCTGTTAAAATGGTGTGAGCACAGGTTTGCCCTGATAGAAGCCAATCTCGGAAGAAATGATGTGGAAGATTTTTTGAGCATTTTAAGACCTGTATGGTCAGGTGACTCAGTGAGGACTGGGATATCACTACTTGAAGGGGCAAAGATAACATACCAACTCTTCCTTAAGGTGGTCAAAACCTAAGAGAACTCCCCTTCTTCCAAACTGTATTTGAAAACAACAGTAAAGAAAAAGACGTACCTCTCAATTGAGGAGTTGATCATCTTATGTTTATCACCAATCCTATGTCAGATTATAAAACCATACCGACAACATGATTACTAACCATACCAGCTCAGCTAAAGCAATTAAGAGAAAATGAGCCATAACCATACCAAAGGCTGACTTTGAAAAGATTTATCAATTAGATGAGTAGGGCATTTAATTTTTTTCTCCATATTGGTTCAGAGAATGATACATAATCAGAAACAATAAGCTTAAAACATCTTCATTAGGTTCAAGACATGATTTGATAAAAGACAAGTCAAATGTTTTTAAGTAAGGGATTTGATCTAAAATATGAATCATTTATTTCAGAGAATTGGTTCTTCAGATCGATCACAAAATTGATTATAGGTTCATTGGTTAGTCAACAGTACATATGGTGCTTCATGCTTGGAGATTTAATGAGCACAGTCTTCGTAACGAGCCCTCTCAATGTCCAAACAAGTCAAACTATCAGAAACATTAACAGATAATACAGCTTAATCAAGATTATAGAGAACTTTTATTTAATCGATTACAGATGATAATCAAGCACTAAGATGAGTTTATCTTGTCCTTGGTGAACCATCACGCTCTTTCCTCTCAAATCAATGTAAATATCAGATTTTTTTTTGGTAAAATGTAAATATCAGATATGCAATGCAAAAGGTTGGATCTACAAAAAAGTTGAATTGAATGAATAAATTAAGGTGTTGAATAAATAAGCACTTATTGATTGTATCTCAAACACTATGATATTGATGCCTTTGGAATTTGGATGTCCGCAATGTTTTTCTTAAGATTCTTGGCTACTCAATATCGTGATGATGATGATGAGGATCCATGCCTTATCCCAACTACATGGGGTTGGCTACATGAATCCCGTCTCGCCAATTCATTCTATTTAAAGTTATATCCACTATTAAATTATTAGTGCTTAAATAATTTTTTACTATTTTTACCCATGCCCTTTTTGGTCTACCCCCAAGCTTTTCTAGACCCTTCAATGTGTAATATCACTTTTTTCTAAATGGCACAGTTGGTAGTCTTCTATGCCCATGCCCAAACCATCTTAGTCTATTCCTAGGTTCCTATGGATAACATGATTCCTAATCCCATATTCCCATCCTTTGTAGTTTTCCACACATCCATTTTAGCATTCACATCATGGCTTCTCAAGATAAATAAATAAATAAATCTACTGTATTGTTTAGTTCCCAAATCCAGCCAATAACCTCCCCTCAATTTAACATCCACTAACAAAACATTGATTCCTAGAAACACCTATGAATTGTTCAAACAAGATTAGTTTTCTTGAATTATTTCTCTTCCAAACGATGATAAAGTGGAGGAAAAAAACAAAGAAAAAAAATAGTCATTACTTATCCCCCATAACAAATAAAAAACAAATTTACAGAGAAAAGAAATGCATGATTTACATTAATCTAAACCCTTGTTTCTTAAAAAAAAAAAAAAAAAAAACTTGTTTCATTATATCTAGAAAACAAAGGGAAATGGAAAACATCATCTCTTACATAGATTGGGACAACATACAGGTCTACCAATATCATCGATGATCTCCATTTCTTTGATCTTGTGTTATCTGTTGTTTTTGCTTCTCAACAAGCTTGTCAATGGCAGCCTGAACGGCATCTCGTCCACCAATGAGTAATCTGGTGATGACCTCCGGGTCCCTCTCTAATCGAGCCTCTTCAAATTCTTGTCGAGCATTCTCTCTAAGGATATCTCGCCACAAAACGCCTCGCGAGTCCGGCCATACGAAGAAACGGGTGGCCCTGAGAATGTCTCTGTAGAGGCTGAGAGCCTCTCGGCGGGTGCTAGTGAGGCGTTGTCTTGCCAAAAGCTCATCTTCGTCGTCATCATAACTCTTTTCTTTCTTCACTACGTGTCTCTCCAATAGCTCTTCTACTGTGTCTGGGCCGTTGTGTAGAAGTTGTCGATGAAATACAATGCCGCTTCTCAAGCAACGATTAACAGAGATTCCCATAAGAGAACATTTCTCCAATCCAATTGCCATTTTCTTTCACTTCTTTTATTTATCTGAATTCAATAAAGCGATAGTAACCAGAGTCAACCAGTCCACTTAATTTCACCTCGCGCAATGGATATATCAATTCCCCTATTCAATTCAATTCAATTAGACTAATGGATATCTAATTCAAATTCAATTGAATTCAATTAAGAAAAGACCCGCTTTTGGATATTCTAGTATGTGCTTACTTATTTTGGATATTTTGGTTTAAGCATGCCAAAGCTATTCATAAGATTCTTGAAAATTTTTGTGAAGGTGTGTATATGTATGTGCACATGTATGTATACTAGATAACTATTCATTAGTTCTAAATATCTTGTGGGTGGCATTTATGCCATCAAAGGGCCTGTTTGATGCAGTCCATAATCCTGATCCAAGAAATAGAATCATATGGATAAGTTAGACTAAAAAGGTTTAGAAGATTGACTTTAGAAAGAATAAGGAATTCAATAAGGCAATAGAAGGGAAGTGATTCCGGAGATTTGTTACTTAAACAACAAGATGACATTTATAAATATGGGTGAGGCAGATGGCTAAATGAATAGGATAACATAATCATGTCCTAATGTACTACTTGGATTTTATCTTGCTGGATACGAGTGATTGCAAATAGAGAAGTAGAAGGGAGGGAAAGGTTGAGTTCGCAATTAACTCTCGCAGACAATTAACAGGGTATAAATAAATATCTCAATGTAAAGTAAAATTACAAGCTTGCCCTTATGTGGGCATATATGCACTTTGATAGTCCCCCTCAAGCTGAGCATAGCTATTTCATACTCAGCTTGTCCAATACTTGTAAGTTTGTTTTTTACCATGTCTTTTCTAAATATTGATTCTCACAAATTCAAATATGGTGATTCCTTCTGATGTTTCTAGATGAAATAAGTGTAACAATGCATGTACTAACTAATCACACTTGGTGCATAGGCAATGATAAAGTAATCATCCTATAAGCCTCTGAAATATTCCTTGTCCTTTTTTATTTTTCCCATAAGTAAAATAGAGCAAATTAATTAAGAAGAGAAATCACAAAAGATACAACTGCTGAAGGAGATGCCTGACGTGCAACCTTTCCTTAGCAGCAAACCCAAAATTACAATTGAACCTGTTGTGAGAGCTGTTTACTTTTATTTTACAGTTGTTGGTAGCATGCTGTCAGCCTGAGATGCTGTCAGCATGTGCCTTCTATTTTCTTCTTATTTGTTTGTTAGTAGAGAGTTGCCAGGGGCATAATTGTATTTTCCTCTTATTCTTTACATTAAGTCAAAGTCAAATATAAATGTTAAGCTGGGATGGGCCAGCAATAGTTTTTTGTTTTCCCAATCAAATCTCCCGTCTCTTCTCCTCTCTCTTCTCTTCTCTTCTCTCTCGTTTCTCTCTATCCAGGAAGATTACATGGTATCAGAGCCAGGTTCTGGGCGGTAAAGAATCTCCTTTCTTTCTCTCGTGATCTCTTGGACGTGTGGAGGACAAAGAAACCTAATCAGACTGATCAGGCTTCAGGCTACTAGCCACTGTTTTCTTTGGGGTCCCCCTTGGTCGTAACACCAAGGAAGCCCTGGTAGAAGAAGGGCAATGCTGTAAACACCCTTCTTCCCCTTGTTCGATGCAGTGAGAGTTTGTTTCTGGGTTTTCTGGGTTTGCACCTTGGAACAGATGCTGGACAGTTCGATGCAGTGAGAATAAGTTTCTGGGTTTGCACCTTGACAGGGGTATGTATTCCTTTTTTTTCCTCTGTGGCCAATGCAGTGAAGCCTTGGTTTTTTGATTTACACCTTCGTACAAGTGTTAGACAGGAGTAAAGTTTTTTTTTTAGACAGGAGTATGTGCTGTAGTTGAACTGTAACTGATTTCTGGGCTTTTCTAATGCCCTGAACCTGAACTGAACTGATTTCTGGGCTGTAGTCCTAATGTTCTAATGGCCGAACCTGAACTGAACTGATTTCTGGGCTATAGTTCTAATGCTCTAATGGCCGAATCATTACTGAACTGATTACTGGTTGCTGTAGTGGAATTAGCCTACTTGCTGGACTGATTTCAACAGTGTTTTTTTCCCTCATTCCAGAAGTAGAATTCTTGGGGGTTTAGCATTCTGATTGTGTAGGATCAGTCCTGGGGTTACACCAACCCCATGCCAATTACCCCTCTAAATGGCCTCAACTACCTGGAGTGGGCTAAAAGTGTGAAACTTTATGTAACAGCAACGGGAAAAGCTGGACATATAAATGGAAGGGTGAAAGAACCAAGTGTGAGACAGCTGAACATGATAGGTGAGACCAAGAAAACAGTATGGTGATGTCTTGGTTCCTTGCAGCCATGGAACCCGATGTGAAAAAGAACTTTATGTGGGTAGACACCGCTAGTGAGATTTGGGAACATGCCAGAACCACCTATTCTGAGCAAAGGCATTATGCCAAGATTTACCAGTTGCAAGCTGAATCCTCAACCTGTAAGCAGGGGAACCATAGTTTATCTGCCTATTATTCAGCCCTTACTTCAGTGTGGAAGGAATTGGATTACTATCAGACTATAGAATGGAAACATGATGGTGATGCTAAGGCCTATAAGAAACTGGTTTCTCAGAAGCGTGTTTTTGCATTCTTGTTGGGACTCAACCCCACTTACGAACCCTTGAGAGTTCAGATCTTAGGAAGTAAAGAGTTGCCTTCGGTTCAACAGGTGTATGCTCTTGTTCAATTTGAGGAAAGTAGGTAGAGTGTGATGGTTACAATTGAGGGGAAGCAACAAGTAGCATTGGCTGCAATGGGTAATAACAATATGGGCAAGAAAAGTGACTCCAAGAAGGCTGATGATAAAGATAAGTTGTTTTGTACCCACTGTTGGCGCTCGAGACATACTCGTGACACATGTTGGGAGATTCACAGAAAGCCCAAGTGGGCAGTGAAGAACCAAGAACAGGGTAAAATGCGAGGTTAGAAGAAGCAGAATATAACACATAATGCAGCACATGTGGCAACCAAGGATACTCAGTTTGTTGGTACTACACGGGAACACTTGATTGGTTCTGACCCCAAGGAAGATATCATGAATTCCTTCAGAGACCACTTGGAGTCATATGGTAGGGCTTTGCGACAGATGGATAATTCAGTTACTGGTACTCCTACCTCATTCACGTCTACATCAAGTAATGCGGCCTCTGCGTTCCATGTTACCACTACCATTGACTCCCCTTGGGTCATCAGGGGCCTCTAACCACATGACCGGTAAGTCAAACTTGTTTCAAACTTATAACCTTTTGTCAGGAAGGGATAAAGTGAGGCTTGGAGATGGATCATTCTCCTCCATTGCAAGCCAAGGATCAATATCCCTTCCCCATGGCCTTAACCTGAATTGTGTATTGCATGTCCCTCAACTTCCTATAAATTTGCTTTCAATCAATAGCATTACAAATTCTTTAAACTGTAGTATAACCTTTTTTCCTGGCTCATGTGTTGTTCAGGATCTAACTTCTGGGAGGACGATTGGTAGAGGGAGTCTAGTGAATGGTCCCTACATTCTCGACAACAAAGCTGGTCTCTCGGTGTCGTCCTCAGAATCATATATTTAGTCAAATAAGAGTCAAATTTTTTAGTGGCATAGTCGGTTAGGTCATGTTTCATTTGAAATAGTAAAGTCTTTGTTTCCAGTTTTATTTAAGTCATGTTCAGTGTCAGATTTCCAGTGTCAAATGCGTCAATTGAGCAAATAATGTAGAAAACAACTTTTCATTCAAGTAATAAAAGATCTAGTTTTCCTTTTCATATTGTGTATTCTGATGTATGGGGGGCTACTATTATAATCTCTTATGGAGGATATAAGTACTTTATCACATTGATTGATTACTTCTCCCGCTATACATGGGTATTTCCCATGCATAGCAGAGATGAAGTTCCAAAGATTGTGAAAGACTTCCAGAGGATGGTATTTACGCAGTTCCATGTTGAAATACAGATCTTTCAATCAGATAATGCAAATGAATACTTTCATGGTGAGCTCAATGAGTTCTTTGCCTCCCATGATCTATTCATAGGAGCTCTTGCGCAAAAACACCACAACAAAATGGTGTGGCAGAAAGAAAGAACAAACACCTCCTTAAGGTAGCTCGAGGGATGATGTTACACATGAATGTCCCAAAAAGGTTTTGGTTGGATGTTATACTTGCAGCTGCTTATGTCATCAACCGCATGCCCTCCAAAGTACTAAACTATATGGCCCCTCATCAGTTGTTGTTCCCCTAGTCTCCTTTATTTTCCATTCCCATGAGAGTATTTGGTTGTCGTGCCTTTGTCCATGATTTGTCTTCGTCTCATGGTAAGTTAGACCCTCGGTCCATTCCTTGTATCTTTCTAGGGTATCCCTCCTGTCAAAAAGGGTACCAATGCTTTGATCCCATCAGTCATAAGTCTTTTGTCTCTACGGATGTGTCTTTTTTTGAGTTTGAACCGTTCTTCCCCGCTTCTCCTTAGGGGTAGAGTAGTGTGGAAGAGGAGAAGCAAGTTTAGGTCCGCCAAGTCTCTCTTCCTTCTATTCTGGACCTTGCCCCCTTTCGTGTCTTCCAACGTACACGCCGTAGAGATCAACAATGTGACAGAGATGTGAAACTACCATACATTGAGCAACCAACACCATCAGACTCTCAGAAGGTAAGTCCAAACCCTGTTGCACCTATTGATACCCCTGCACCTACTGTGGATGACCTTAACATTCCTATTGCTCAAAGAAAGGGAGTCCGGTCAAGTACTACCAAACACCCCATTACCCAGTATGTCTCCTATGATCACATTTCCCCCTCATACCGAGCCTTCCTATATGCAGTTGATTGCATCCCTATACCCAGAAATGTTGTAGAGGCCTTAAAATTCCTTGAATTGACAGATGCTATGAAGGAGGAGATTAATGCCCTCCATAAAATTCTTGGGAATTGGTGGATCTTCCAAGGGGGAAAGACCCCGTGGGGTGTAAGTGGGTGTTTATAGTTAAACATAGAGCGAATGAGACAGTTGAAAGGTACAAAAGCAAGATTAGTAGCCAAGGGGTACACTCAAGTGTACGAGGTTGACTATGATGAGAGATTTGCTCCAGTAGCT